AAAAAGTGATATAACATTCAGTCACGTCCTCATCCCCAGAATTGACCGTAGTTAGTATTTTTCACATACACTTCAAGTCTCTTTTATTTTAATCAAAGCAATGAGACATTCCAGTTAGTGCTGAAGTCTCCTTTGTTCCCTTCCCTCCCTCTCCTCTGAGACCACCGCTGTCACAAATTGAGCACATACACTTCCAGAATATTTAAGAATATTTAACAAGCATGTACATTTCGTGGAGAATGTGTAGCTTTGAGTGTGCCATCCCACATTTGCTCCGGGTCCTGGACCTCTCTTCTCAGTGCAGCCTCTGTGTTGGGATCCGTCTCCCCGACCCACCTCTCTGTGGAGGAGAGCCTGCCATGCAGGTCCCCACAGGAGAGGACATAAAGACATGCTAGTGGGGCTGTGTGAGGGCCTGGGTTTCATCWCCAGCACCATTGAGGAAAAGAAAAAAAGACATACTGGTGCTCGCCAGCAGACACTGTGCTTTCCCCATGAGCCGTGTTCCTGTGTGTCTTGGGGAATCCATCTGACCCTGCGCAGTAAGAGCCATCACTGTGGTCTCCCCAGGAACCATACAGGAAATGAGACTCCAGGGGCCAGCCGCTGGCCTGTGGTTGGCTTGTGATACACTTGTGTGGGGTCCCCATGGTTCTGGCCACTGTCATCCCCAGCCCTGGAGTCGTGACCCACCTGTGAGTGAGGCATCACTAATACTCTAGGGCCCAAGAAAATAAAATCCAGGGGATGGGGACAGGGCTTGGTGGCAGAGCTCTTGCCTAGCACGCATGAGGCACTAGGTTTGATCCTCAGCACCACATAAAAATAAATACATAAAAGGTATTGTGTCTATATACAACCAAAAAAATGTTAAAAACAACAACAACCAGGGGACAGTGAGTAGTCAGTGGCCCCCAACTCCCAGCCACATTATCTGAAAGTTCTTCATTGTTCTTTGGTGGAAAGAACACAAACTAACAGACACTAAATCCTGCTTCTGACTTGACTGTACACCTGGCTGCTCTGGGATGCTGCGCAGATGGCCCATCTTCTCTGCCTGGTGCCTCACCTCTGGACGGAGCTCCTGCTGGCTGCCCACCTACCCTACAGCTTGTCTAGGGACCCAGACGTGGTCTGCGTGGTCTGACTCACTGGGCCCCTTCCCTCACCTTCAGCAGCCACCTGCTGTGTTCCTACTGTGTCCCCGTGACTTTAAGTGCATGACAGCATTTAATCCTCATTCCTCAAGCAGGGGCTTTGAGAAGATTGCTTTCAATCCCTTGTTTTTCTGATGTGCTTGATTACCACTATGGCAACAACATAATTTTATTTTCTTTTTTTAAACTTGATATATATAATATTTCAGCCTTATTATGAGTTAAATTGAGTTTTGTGGGTGGGCCTGGGAACCCCATCAAAATTTATAGCTCTATTTCTTTGGAAAAATTGCTTTCAGGCATCACACAACCAATTACAAGGGAAGTTTGGAACTCCACCAGTTAGTTGGGTCCACTGTACTGTTTGCATTGTTCCCTAATTAGTTTGTGGAAGGATAGTTAATCTCCCTAGTGAAACAATAAATTTCTTAAGGGCAGGCAGTACATCTTGCAGGATCCCCCATCACACCCRGCAGGTGCCAAGCTCAAGAATATATCAACACATTCTTGTTTAATTTCTCCAAAGCCCAACTGCCTGTCTGCCTCAAAGAAATGGGTGCTGATGGCAGTCACCTGGGGTGCCCCTGGTGGTCATTGACTCATATACTGTCAAACTTGTTGACTCCTAGATGAGGCCCAGGTTCGTCTGTTCCAGGTTCATTAATTTTTTCTAGAACTGAGTGTAAGTTAACACTGTTCTGGGTGTTTTACGTTTGTTAATGTATTTAATCTTTATAAAAATATTTTAAGGGGCTGGGGGCTGTAGCTGAGTGGTAGAGCGCTTGCCTCGCATGTGTGAGGCACTGGTTCGATCCTCAGCACCACATTAAAAAACAAAACAAAACAAAATATAAATTAATAAAAAAATATTGTGTGTTCCTCTACAAATAAAAAAAATAAAAGAAATATTTTATTTTCAGTATTCCCATTCTACAGATGACCAGAGAGGTTAAGCAATTTKCCTAAGGTCATAGAACTGTTGAAAGTTTAAACTGAGATTCAAACTCAGGCAGCCTGGCTCCAGGACCCRAGCTGTCAACCATTGCACCCTTGTCTGTGAAAGACCAGGATAAAACCTTTCCTGTCACCTGGAAATGCTCTCCATAAGGGCACAGCACTGCATTTTCACCAGCTTCATACCGTGTGATCTGTGTCAAATCCTTGGGCAACAGACAAGGTAGATACATTTTCTACCAAATTCAAACAGTATGGAAAAGTCAAAAAATAAAGTAAATGATTCTCAAAGTTCTTCCATCAAAGTTAAGATGTTGGTTGACATATTGGATTCTATGGACGCTCCTCTATGAGTACACGTGTACATTGGGTGACATGGGACCTCCTTCCAGATGCATTGACAAGTGAGGAAACCACGCCTTAGGAAAGTGTGTGCTTTGTCCTCTACAGAGCTAACAGGTTCAGGGTTGGGACTTTGGTCCTGTGTGGAGTTTTCAGTTTATGGTAAACTCTGAAAGTAAAGTGCACATATCTTTTGACCCCGTTCCTCCTATTTAGACATCTTCCTCCCAGGACACAGTCCTAGTGCTGAGCTGAGGGGGCTGCCACGGCCGAGGCTGTCTTAACTTTCCTGGAAATTGTGCCTACTGAAGAAGAGACTCTGGGTGCGTGGTGGGTTGGGGTACTTATGCAGATGTCAGTAAAGCTCACTAAAAGCCGCTGTTGAGCTTCTACTTGGATCAAGTCCCATGGCCCTGTGAAATCTCAGCTGAGGTGGTGTCCTTTGAGGAAGCACAGTAATTACAAATGCAGCTCAGTTGTGGTGATGCTGTTCCAAAGCCACCTTGTCTTTCCCTGTTGAGCAGCATCTCCAGTTGTCTTAAAGAAGTCCAGGGGAAATGGAATCTGGTGGCTGGGGAGAGAGGCACTCATTACCTCCCTCCAGCCAGCTTCCTTCCTGCAGATACTTTGGTCTTAGGATTGGTATCTACTTCTGCTGAAAATGAAATCATATATTCAACTCTCAGGCTGTGTTAGTGAAAATGAACTCTAATGTGATTAGATATTAATGCAGCGTAAATTGAGACCTTCTGATCTTATTACTCCACAAATGCTCCCTCCTACTCAGGCTGCTGCCCTGCCCAGAGCCCTGAACCCCAGCAAGCCTGGGGCAAGGAGAAAAGAGCTGCGGGAGGGGAGAAGGTGGGAAGCGGGGGCTGGGAGCCAGGCTGCTCTGAGGCCCTGACCACTGACAGCCAGCCTCACTTCTCCCTGAGCCCCTTCCTCTCTGCACTGCACGGGGGGAGGGGCGGCCCCACCTGTGGAGGACCTAGAGCTCCCAAATGTAAAGTCTTACCTTAAATCCTGCATCACTAGGAGATAGCCAGGCATAGGGCTGGAAAGCCAAGAACAAGATCTCCGTGCGGTCTGCTCTGCTCCTCCCCGCTACCCCGTAATCCTCTCGTGAAATGATGACTTAAACCCAGTAACAGTGGCTGTAACTTGTGCTGGTTGTTCCCTTTCCTGGTCTGGGAGGCAGGTGGGTGCCATCAGCTTCCTTTACGGACAGGGATGGGACACTTAGTTCAAAGTGGCAGCCAGGCCTGTGGAACCCCAGGACCTCGCACACCTCCCGGCCCACAGGCTTGTCAGAGTCTCCTGCCAAGAAATGGGCAAGAACGCAGCTCTGGGGATGTCAGGTGGCATCACCTTCGTGTATGAATAATGGTGTTTTCACAAGGAGAGCGATTTTTCTTACTCTGTTTTTAGAAAACTGCTTTCAGAGGCGCAGCCTTTGCACACAGGATGGTAACGACTTTTTAATGACCTTAAGAGGACTGGTGTCCAGGCAGCAGTGAATCAATCTCAGTGGGAGGTTGGTAGTGAGAGGGAAGATGGAACACCTGAAACAAGAGGGGAAAACAAACTGCAAATACATATATTTCCTTTGCTAGTGTTCCTTGGTAATTAGACAATTACAGGAAACAGCTTCATGGCAGCTGGCATTTCCACTGTGTGAATGGAGGAGGGATGGCAACGACTGTGAACTCCTCACGTTTATTATAGAAAATATTATTGGAGTTTACGGTCGTGGGTGCCTTGTGCTCCTCCAGCGCATTCTGATGAGCTGCTGGGCACTAGCCAAGAGCCAAGTTCCTCCTCTCCGAGTTTGTTTGGGGCCTGCTCTGCTAGCTTTTAAAGGAGTGGCCCTGCCCAGGCTGATCTGAGCAGAGTTGCCTTTAAAATTCTGGGTTTGCTTCTGAGAGCTCCCAGAGCCAGGCCAGGCTTTGGAAATGGGAAAGCTGGAGGCCTGGGGAGCCCCGCCTGCCCCCAGGTGCCCTCTATGGCACCATAGTGAGTGGCCTGCTGCTCCAAGCCCAAGTTCTGGGCTTGCCCACCCCTGCCCTGCTGCCCTGCTGCCCTGCTGCCCTGCTGCGAAACTCTCCTCCCGGAACCTCGAGGACCTGCCCCCCCCACACACATCCGATGAGTTGCCCTGGTCATTCTGCCCACGGCCCTCTGGGGTCACCATCCCATCCTATTTTATGGATGAGGAAATGTATTTTATGAGCTCCTGTCACCCTAATTGTGTTTATATTTTGCTACACTCTTGTCCCATCAGACATGGCCTACACTTGGTGTTCATTTTTAGAGGGCTTTATAAAAATCCTAAGTGCCAATCTCAGGGTATGGGGTGCCCTCTTTGATGAGATGTTGGTCTGAGTGGGGCACCGTATGTTCCTGCCTCTTGACTGCCACCCTTCCTACAACCCCCACCCTTCCTACTGCACAAGCACCCAGGCTGGGAGGCCCCCCTCATGGACAGGGCCACCAGCATGGGTCAGTTGTGCAGTGTAACCAGGCCAACRGTTGTGTTTGCTCTCGCAGGTCCTGGCAGTCGGTGACTTTTGAAAGGCAGCCTGCCTCCTTCATCCGAATCGTTGGAACACACAACACAGCAAATGAGGTAAGGGCCTCTTTCCATGAGCAGCGCCGTGCCCTCTTGTGATGTCCGGTAAGTGGTGCACCGAGCTGAGGGGAACCGTTGGCTTTGCCTGCTAATGGCCTGCTGTCCCCACAGATCAGTGCAGAAGAAAGCCCCGCTCTGGCCCACGGGGCTGTTGTGATCGCGCCTAGCTGTGTCTTCACTAGCAAATGAAGCCAGCACCTACTGCTCTGCTTATTCCTCCCACCCCTTTGCAGAACCCGCCATCACAGAGCCCTGGAGAGGTCAGGCGGCCTGTCCCTCCTCTCAGAGTCCTCAGCCCTGCAGATGACAGGGTTCATGGGGGCCCTTAGCACTCTGAGTGTGGTGTCCAGCATAKGGATGTGCTGTTCGCATCATGTGCTTATTTCTCACTTTGATGTCCTCGTCCCACATGTGGTGTGCCCCACTGAAGGGACTGCTGGTCAAAGATGTGACATGTAAGGAGTAACGATGTGGAAATTCAGGAGGTAAATGAGAAAGAAGCACGAAAGTGGGAATGATCCTAGTTTCCCTCTATTGTGCACCTTTCTCAGTCTCAGTTCTGGTGGCTTCRTGGGTGTCCACCAGAGCAGTGGCCTGGGGCCCCATGCCTGGGCCTGGTGGTCTGCAGCATCACCTTAAAGTCCTTGTTGTTTTGACCTTTGAGTCCTGTTTTGTGGAGCGCGCGCCCAGGGCTCTCCTACTCCACCTCCTGCCACTTCTCGCCTTCCCAGGCCTGGCTGTCAGCCACAAGCTCCCCGGGCCCTGGCATGGGTGCTGGAGGGCTGGGGTCTGGTGCGATTCCTAGTGCTAGTCACTGGATAGGGCCCTGGACACCACGAGGGGCTGTGATGGTCTGAGGGCGTTCCCGTGGAACAAGTAGCAAATAWAAGGATGGCAGGGTAAGCGAGGCTGGAAGAGGGTGGTCACTTTTCCTGCCTTTTGAACACAAGGCTCTACATTTTCATCTTGCAACTGGCCCTGCCTGTTTACAGAGCTGGCCTAGCTCATGCATTGTGTTTGTGGAATCAGGATTTTCCCAGAGCTTGTTTACAGGCTCCTCTCTGCAGGAAACACACTGTGGCTATGGATCATTTTTATTAAAAAAAAAAAAAAAAAAAAAGGCGGGGGCACCAAAATTAACCTAAACTATTGCATTATTTTTATTTATTTATTTATTTGGGTACTGGGGTTTGAACCAAGGAGCTCTTAACCATTGAGCTACATACCTCCCCAGTCCATTTTATTTTTTTATTTTGAGACACAGTCTAGCTAAGTAGCCAAAGCTGGCCTCGAACTTGCAATCCTCCTGCCTAAGCCTCCTGAGTTTCTTGGAGTACAGGACACGTTTCCTACAGTTAAAATATACTGGCTTTTAAGAACGCTTTGAAGTGCCAGACACACCTCAGGTTTTTTTCTCTTGTTTCTTCATTTTAAAACAAACCTGAAAATTATAGTAGTAAACTAATTGTTATTTTTAAAAGCAAAAATCAAGAATTCTAAACATCAAGTCATAAAAGCACTTTTTTCTTACTTTGTGATGTAACAAAAGTAAATTTTTAATCTACATTTTAATATACATTTGATTCCTAACCAATAATATTGTAATAATTCTGCCAATAAATTTCCAGTTTTTCTTACTACTTAAGCTACATTAATTATGTGTTACTAAATTTGAGAAAAACTGAAATTTATTTTTACAGGTAACATATTGAACTATTAAAATTAAAATTATTTTTCATTTGCAACCTTTACTTCTAGTATAATACACTTTATAATACACATAATTCACTTTATGGCCTAGCCAGGGTCTCTTCCAGGCCTGAACTCAGTCCCAGCCTYATCACCTCTGGGGCCAAAGGAATGAAAAAAGAACCTTGAACATTTTATTTCAAAGCTGTTCTTGATGGAGAATATCTTCCTAGACAAGGCTCTAAAGTTGGCATGCAAAACCTCTTTTCCATGAGGAATTTCCCAAAAATATCCAGGACCCTGTTCCCTTGGGTGAAGATGAAGCCAATCAGTTTGCATGGCTGGCCAGCAGGCACTAGTGACATGGCGGTCCATCTCATAAGGCTGATGAGTAACTTGCTCATTGCCTTATTGAATCAGTTATTGATCATAGTGTTTCCAACTGGAAATCATAAAATAAATGATGAACAGGACCATAAGAGAAGATCCATAAGCTGCAGCATCCTCAGAGCACACGGGAGGACACAGGGTCCACACCGTCCTCGGAGCACATAGGAGGACATGATAAAGTTSGTTTCCCAGAGTGTCAGGGATGTAGCTATCTGTAGCTGTTCCGAGGTTCTGGGACATCCTTTGGAAGAAGCAGTGTCACCTGCCTTAGAGAAGCGGCAGCCCAGAGGTAGAAGGGACSGGCTGCTTCCTGCGAAGGAGGATGCATCTGGCAGGCTGGGCAGGACTCCTGGGAAATAGCACTAGAGGAAAACCGAGATGCCCGACAGGAAGGTGCTCGCTGCCGCATGGGCACAGCCAGGGAAAGGACACTGGGGTGGGAGTCCAGGACAGTCCTCATGTGTATTACCATGGGAGCAGAACTGTGCCATCAGAAATAGGGTTCCAGGCACCTCTTTATCACTGCGGGGGGTGGCCTGGAGGGCAGGGTTGYGGGGTTTCCACAGTCTGTCTCCGCTTGGTTGCCAGGCAATGCCAGTGGCTCTTAGCCCAACCCATGGGAGCAGAACACGTCAGCAGGGCCTGAGCAGCAGATGTTCATTTCTCCCAGCTCCACAGGCTGGAAGTGTGAGGTCAGAGTGTCGGCAAGGTCTGGCACTTCAAGGGGGTCCTCTTCCTGTCCCCGCCCTCACTGGCCTTCCTTGGCGGAGGCACTCACGAGTATGATGAACTCCCACCGCCCTTTTCCTTCATGCAAGGACATTGGTCCCATCAAGGGGCTCCACCCTCGTCACCTCATCTAAACCTGACCACCCCAAAGTTTCTGCCTTCTACTACCAGTCCACTGGGGATTAGGGTTTCAGCGGTGTGTCTGGGGGATCCAGAAACGCAGTCAGTTGTCTTGGCTGTCATTTCAGGCAGAGCCAGGACTTGTTCCCTTTTAGCTACTGGGTGTTTGTGAACCCAGAGGCTTCGTGCAAATTGCCAGGAATATAGAGGGAGTTGAGAGGTGAAACTGTGTGTAAAAGACGAGCCGTTTGCCACGTTCCCAGGTAGGTCTGCTTGCTGCAGACACTGCAGTGGTGGGGTGGTGCGGGGAGCCCGGCGTGGAGTGCTTCTAGGAGTGGAAGARCTTTCAGGGAGGTGGGAGCTGTTTCCACAAAAGGTAGAAAGTGGCCCAGAGAGAATGTCAATGGCCAGAGCTGCCTGCTCTTCAGAGAGACCATGGCCAGGAGCCCAGGGAGTTGACCGTAGTGACCTCCCACCATCCGGGTGCTATTGGAGTAGCAGAGGGCACATGCCCAGCCATGAGTGGAACCGGCTTCTGAGCCCAGGCGGCTTAGGCTCTTGCCGACCATGGGTCGCGCCCGTCTTGCTCTAGTGGGCCAGGCCTCCTGCCTCCAGAGGGGCTGGCATCTTTGGGCTCCACGGTGGTTGTCCCCTTTTCCCTTCATCAGCTGGCTCTCGGGCATCAGCGAGYGGCCTGGCGGGCTGTGGAGGCCCAGGCTTCCCCATCACCTGTTCCGCAGGCTCTGATTTCCTGCAGCTCCCCAGACTGTCCTCTGGGAAGCGCGCGTCTGCTGCTGGCATCTGTCTCTCATCTTCTGTCGTGAGCACCACAGCAATGAGTTCATTAGGTTTTTTAGCTTSGTTTATGACTTCTGTCAATAGAGTCCCTAATGCTGGCCTCTGAAGAYGCCCACCCCGCTGCTCCCGTGTGCTTGGCGCTGCCCTCGTCATTTGCTCAGTGCCTCACACCTCTTGCCTGTCATCTCCCGCCAGTGTGTCTTCCTGTCCCTCTGCCCTGCAGTCTCCTGCATGGGACTGGTTCTCACGTGCCTGCTGCTCCTCTCTTTGGCCTTGCGTGGTCTCTCCATGTCTTCTCTGCCCACTCTCAGGGCTGCCCTTGTCTCCCCTGTGCCTGGCAGACCTGTCAACTTGTCCTCGAGCTCACCCACCATCCCCTTCAGTTGGTCACCTGATTCCCCAGTGTCTGCTGCTACCAAGCTCACTCTTGGCTATTCCTTGGCCACTTTTTGGTGGTCTCAGTGGCTACTTCAGCAAGCTTGTGTGCATTCGGGTCATCCCCTTGCCTCCATGGYTGATTGTCTCTGAGCTGCCTGTGGGAGGCAGACATCACTCCCCTTCCTAAACCTCTCTGGTCTGGAAAAGGTCTTGTCACTCTCCCTGCAGCATCAGGGCAGACCTCAGTTCCAGCTGGCAAGTGCGGCAGAGCAGGCCTGGCGTCTCCCATCATCCACTCCCCCTCATCTGGTGACCTTAGCATATAACGAAGGCACACACCTGCACCCTCGAATCCAYGGAATTCAAACAAGATCCAGTCTGGGGCCCTGTGAAGATGGTCAGTGGTATTAAAAGTGATAGAAGTGGTGTCTGTTTCTTGTTATGGCTTTATGAAGCCCTGAGTTTGAGAGAAAGTTCTGGAGTGATTTTTCAGTAGACAGGAAGCTGAGGGTTGACAAGACCACAGGAAGAGCGAGCTCTGCGGCACAGAGATGGGCTCCTGCCACAGGACCGCGCGTGGGAAGGTGTCCGCCAAGTCAGTAGCAGAAACTGAGGAGGCATTGACGGGTTGCACCGGCTCTCTCAGTTCCCCTGTGCTCATTGGACTCATGTGGCAAGAGGAGAGCTGTGTCACGGTCACCTTTGCATCTTCCACAGCTAGCRTGGTGCCCCGCATGTGTAAGAGTAGAGTATCTGTGAGCCACGCAAACGGAATAATCTGTTCAGCCATCTCTGCTCCACCCAAACAGGAATAAAGGGAAAGATTTAGTAAAATAACTTGTCGTTACCAAGTGGCCGTGGCATTCCAGGACAGCCTCCGTGATCATACTGAA